CCCCTAAATGCATTGAAGCAACTGCCATGTGATTGGTTGATTAGATAATTGCATTAATGAGAAATTGAACAGGTGTTCCTAATAATCCTTTAGGTGGGTGTATATATACACACATACACACACTATCGAGAGCAAAGCTTGGGGTCTGTGTGCACAGTACTGCAATCCTACAATCCTAGGCTAGTATAGCATCAGCAATATTTCTGCAGCTAAAAAGAGCAATAATGCTCAATGATCTGTGGGTTCAAAACCCAGGGAGCACACATAAATTGTAAATTTTCCCTCTATTGTAAGTCTTTTTGGGTAAAAGCATCAGTTAAATTTAAATGAGTTACATGTATGTCATGCACACAAAAAGTAGAATGTGCAATAAAGTATATTTTCAGTCCTACAGTATATGTCACCACAAGAAATCACAACATTCAGGTAAAAGCTCATTTATTAACTTTCACATTTCCTGTTGATCTATCCGGTACTTCTAGAAATTGTACAGTTTGGTGAGTGTGGGAGGAGTACAGATTAGATGGGCGGAGCTGGAGACGGAGCTGTCCAGGAAATACGATGCTGTCAGTCTGACAGCCCCCTTTCAAGTTGTAATAATTGTAATAGCTGTAATGACAATTAATAATGATAATAATGCAGTACTCGTAATGCAAAATGAGGTTGGAGTCTTTTTCTCTGCTAGGTCGTTATAATAGAAGGTGACTACTTCTCCAACTATCTGCAGTCGCTCATTCTCCAACGGAAGAACCGAAACAAGGTTTTCTCACACATGTCAATTTCCAATACGTGAGTGAGCGATTTGTTCCCCAGTGTTTGCCTTCCTGTGAATGGGCCAGTTGCAGTGCTTGATTAAATACAACATTCATTCAAAGGGGGAATCCTGCAATGTTTATTGTTTCCTAGTTAGGGCCTAATATTTCTCTATCTTGTAGCTTGGCAGTTACTCCACATCTTACAGGCAATGAGATCCACTTCCCCTTGGGAATGTTCCTTCCACCACTCTTCCATGCTTCTTTCCCTAGGTATCAGTATTTTCCCATTCAACACTAGATACCCATTATTAGTAATGTTACAAATATGACTCCCTGCATTGCTCAAAAACACTCATTAGAAGACACTAAATCCATCACAGTAATTGTATTTGGCAGGGCTGTCAGCTATAGCATTTGGGTTACTGGAATATTTTATCAATTCTTATTAGAATAGTATAATTTTAAGTCTGCTCTGTTAATTGTGTTTGACAGGGCTGTCAACTACGCAGTGCTCGGGATGCTGATGGCTAAGGATATTTTACATCTCCTCATGCCACACAGTAAGGCAGATTGTCACTGTGACTTTCCATGCCTTCTATTTTCCTACAGGATCTCTTTCCAGTCAGAGAATGTTTTAAGCTCTGTGTTAATGTTACTTTGCATTCCAATTAACTTCACTTTGCCTCTCCATTAGTCTTCAGTCTTGATGAGCTGTCAAAATTGGTCACCAATACAAATAGTTTGCCATTGTCCGTACCCACGCACTACAAAGCAGTACTGTGACATCAGTTATCTGCAGACTGACTAAGAAATCGAATTTAAATCCCCAATTGAAGAGCATATTTGTAAAATTTACTCAATCAACAGGATACATTTTCAGACTATTTCTATAGACTTTGGAAATTTTAAGAAATTTCTTTGTTGAATTACATAAGGTGTGAATGAGTTTTGCTTCCCAATACTATAACATATTGTGGTGCCGTGCAGACTGAGGCATCATGGTGGCTGCAAAAAAAGATGAGAAGAGATGGATTGACACAAAGTTGCTCTTTATATCAGTCCTTGCAAGGAACGCACAATAAGCAACAACAACACAGAGGCAAACATGGCAGGCATATGTGGGGAAGTTACACACTACACGGGAAGGCACACACATGGTAGAGCATGTCAGAATTACACATACGACACAGGTATGGGTACACACAATACTCGAGAGGACAACAGATGTTTACACTAAACACAGACAATAACTTATTATGAGACATACACAGGAGCTATATAAATGGCACATGAGCATGCTATGTAGATGGATTCGGTGCTACAATATCATAAGGAAGCCTGACTTTAGTTCATTGGCGGTCTCAGCTTGAGTTTTGGAAATCTGCTGTTTAATTTTGGCCAGTCAAAGAGGCATTCCCTGCCTTTGTACTAATTTTTCTGTATCATTTGGAGAGACATTATCTTAATGAAGCATTGGAATTACCTCTCGGCTGAATGTTGAGGTCACTTCCCCTATAGCATAAAGGCTCTATGCTGGTTCTAAGTCCAGTGTAGTGCAGTAAAATACTTTTTTTTTTCTTTTTTAATTAATTACCACTGTTGCATTGAAATGCTTGAGGGAGCCGTAGCAGCAAACCGCTATTAATATTCTGCAGCCTTTTATTTGATCTGCCTTCCTTGTGAAGTACTTAATTCCTCATATGCCAGCTTGTTTCAGCAGTAACTGTAAACACTGAAGTGCTTCTGAGTGTATCTCTGAGAAACGATCTCTTCTGTTGCTCAGTCCAGGCCCAGAGTCAGGCTCCAGAGACAGTGAGTCAGTGCGTCTGGGCGCTGTATGGTAACCTGACTGGGGGCCCAGACAGGGCTCAGCAGGCCCCAATAACGCCTGCCCAGCGCTGGGAGACGTGGGCTCAGTACTCAGCCCTCCAGATTGCGCTGCAGGTCAGGGCATCCGTTCAGCTGCCTTACTGTCAGTCACAGAGCACATATAGCATCATCCTTTTTCAGCATCCTTCAATTTATGCCTCAATTTCATCATTCATTGTCACTCTTCTTTTTAAATCTCTCAGGCCTATCAGGATTCACTCACACAGCTGGAGGATACATCTTTGTCTGGCCTCTATCACAATCGGCTGTTCTTTGCAGCCTTTTTGCAGGTATGGTGATGACAAATTTATGAATATCCAAAAAGAGTAAAATGCAGTAAAATGTTCACTCTGCCTCTAAAAAGTTGTTTTGATTCTTAAGAAGACTATTGATAAGTGCTGCAGTAGAGCATGTGCCTTAGCATACACAAGCACAGTGTGTGGCTCTGTTCCCCTGACCAGACGGTCATGGGATCAACTGCCATGCCTGGCAGACTGATGCCACCATTGGGCCCTTGAGCAAGGCCCATAACCCCAATTCCCCAGGTCTGCTGGACACTGGCTGTTGCTATGCTCTATATGTGTCTCTGTGTCTCATGGAAGGAAACTACCCAATGTCTCCATGGGCTGCATGAAGTATCTCTATTCTATTCTAAATTCCAGGTCAGCTGTGACTTTGAGCTGCATTATGATCACCTGCCATTTGCAGACTCTTTCCTGCTTGCCACCATCTGCATGAAGTCTGATTTTTGCCCCCAGTCCATGATTTGCTCCCACAATATCCCTGAACATTTCAAACAAAGCTGTTGATTACTCATGATACTCATTTTATTTTGAATATATACAGCTGTAGTTACATAAAGCTGTTCAGAATGTATAAAAGTACCTGTCCACTGAAGATTTGTTATAATTTAATATTAATAAGTTGCCTATTTCTGTTAAGCCTCTTGTGGTTAATCACATATCCACTGGGTACCTGCATTTCCCATCCATCCATCCATTCCCCATCCATTTCCCATAGCCACGTATTCGGGTAAGTCTCTCGCAGGTATGAAACAGGCCATCAGAGGGCACTCACACACTCAGTCATACACAGTGTATAGGCACTGCTACCCATAACTGGACGTAATGATGATGATGATTGATGCTGTTTTTGTACAAGTATGAGTGTGGGGCTTGGCCAAGGGTGTGCCAGAATGTGCAAACATATATTTATTGTTTTTGCATATGTAACAGTTTATGTGTATTAGCATCTGTGAGGAGTCTGCAATAGCTTTTATTCTGAGTATTCATGGGTTGTTAGATGAATAGGGTGATGATAAGGTTAGTAATATGACTGTAACCCCTCATACCTGTAGTGTTTGAATCACATGTCAAATATATTATCTATTTGTTTGCTGATTAACCGGTTGTTTATTTTTTAACATTAAAACGCATCTATCATCTAGGAAGTATAGATGGGAAAAAGAATTACTGGGTTTTATGCAGTTGTTCTGGCCTGAAAGACTGAAGATTCTCTAAACAGGTACAGAGAAAGCTGCTATTGCAAGCTATTGGCAGGCAGGTTGTGCTAGATCAGGAAAGCTGTTTTGGTTTCCTTTCCTGCAGGTCAGCATCCTCTGCTACACATGGTTGATTCAGGTATACAGTGGCATCATATGAAGCTTTGGCAGCAGGTGAGGGACTAGTTTGACTTTCCATATCGGAAAAGAGTTTGGGATGTTTCTTCAGTTGGGCACTGCAGTCATTATAGCCAGGACTGAGTTTAAGAGGGAAACACTCAACTTTTTCTATGAAAAAAAAAACCTCCACCTTGGTACACAAAGTGAGAGTTAAAATATTTATAACATGGATCACACTTCAAACATTGCATTGTTTCATTCTGAATAACATGACATTTATATAACAACGCTCTGGATCCCTGCAACCCTGCATAGGAAAATCGGGTATAGAAAATGGAATAGGACAACGCATATGATGTGTATGTTAACATGTTTATGTGTAATCCATGAAATTCAAGTCAGGTGTAAATGTGAGAGGCCCTGCTTTTTTGGTTCTTAATATCAAAATGTCTTCACATCTTCACAGCAGAGGTTTGGGGAAGTGTGTCATGGCCCAATCAAAAGAGATTTCTGAGGAGTTTGTGTTGTGTACAAATGGAGGAAATTCAACACCATTGTTACAATCTACAGGAGTGGTCGACTAGAAAAGATCAATCCAAGAGCAAGGTGTGTAATAGTCCTGGAGGTTGCAAAAACCCCAGGGTGACATCTAGGTTAATATCAGTGTTCATGCACCTACCATCAGGAGAACACTGAACAGCAATGGTGTGCACAACAGGAGACCATAAAACTGAATTGTACCAGCAAATTCTACAGTATAAATTCAGGATATCTGTTCCTGACTTGAAGCTCAAAAAAGAAGTGGGTCAGACAGTTAGACAATGACTCTAAACATACAAGATGTTCTGCCAAAATACAGTCAACCAGCAGGAACATCATGTTCTGGAATGAGTAAGTCAAAATCCTGGCCTTAACCTTATGGAAGTGTTGTGGAAGTATTTGAATCAAGCAGTTCAGGCGAGCAAGCCCAACAATGTCCCTTAGTTGAAGTTGTTCTGTAAGGAGTAAAGGACTAAGATTTCTACAAGCTGATGAGCAGGACTGATCAACAGTTACCGTAATTGTTTAGTTAAAGTTATTGCTGTGAGGTCACAGCAGATACTGACAGAAAAGGTTCACATACATTTCCCACACACATTTATGTAACATGTGATCATTCTCCACAATTAATAAAAAAAAAATCCAAGGATAAGGTTTTTTGTGTGATTTAATTGGGTTCTCTTTACCTAGTTTTAGGACTTACGTGAAAATCTGATCATGTCTTAGGTCATATTTAGCAGAAATAGAGAAATTTCAAAACGGTTCACAAACTTTCTAGTATCATTGCATGTATTAGAATTTATTTGAATTCAAGCCTATTTTAATTCTAGTTCCAATTGCAATTTTGCATCCTGCTTTCAATCGTAATTCAACTTGAATGTCATTTTCAATTCATTTCTGAATGGTGCACAACCCTGGTATCAAACCCCTGGGTGGTTGCACGCAGAAACATACAAACAATTGTGCAACTCCAGTTCACCGAAGAAACCCAAACTGACATACGAAGGTGTAAAAGGGGTGAGGCAACAAGGGCTTCTGCGTCACCGTGTCACCCCCACGTCAATACGCGACATTACGAAATCACTCTGCGACGCCAGCGCGCCGGCTACTTCTCATGAGCAAAACAAGATGGCAGCATACACAGGAGGCAAGCGTGGTCTGGAACATTTGGATGAATATGAACCTAAACCGGCTAAACAAATGCGAAACCTTCACGAAAAAATGTCGGAGAAAAGGCTTGTTGTTGTTCTTGAAGGAGCGACGTTAGAAACAGTGAAGGTATTACAGTTTTATTTTAAAATCATACACTTAATGTCTATGATTGTACAATCACGCGTACATTCCGGATTCATACAATCAAGGAAGGAATGGCAGTTAGTGGTTAGCACATATACGCTGTGTCTAACGTTACTTGTGATTCGTATTGTGTTGTAACGTTTGTCTTAAATTAAAGAGCGAACGGGTTTAAGCGAATTGGATGTACTGTTTTTATGCTTGTAGGTTGGAAAATCCTTTGAACTTCTGAACTGCGATCAACACAAGAGCATGATTATTAAAAATGGAAGAGATCCTGGCACCGTCCGACCTGATATCACGCACCAGGTTCAGACGTATTTAAAACACGTTTACTTCTGATAGTTGTTTTTTATGGGTTGCATGAAAACAAACATTATAACTAACTGTCCTGTCGCTTTCGTCCAACGCAGTGTTTGCTGATGTTAATGGACAGTCCTCTGAATCGTGCTGGATTGCTGCAGGTTTATATTCATACAGAAAAAAATGCTTTGATTGAGATCAACCCTCAGACACGTATTCCTCGCACTTTTGCACGTTTTTGTGGACTAATGGGTAAGTGAATTTCTGATGCACATTAATGATTAATTTTTAAGTTGGGCTACACATGCAAATATTTGCATGGGCAACAGGTGATTTTACGTACACAATTTTTTTAAACCTGTGTATTTCCGTCATCCTTCCCTCTCTCTCGCTATGCTGTCCCTTCCATCAGTCCAGCTCCTGCACAAGCTGAAAGTGAGGGCTGCTGACGGACCGCAGCGCTTACTCAGGCTCATCAGAAACCCGGTTTCGGACCACCTGCCGCCGGGCTGCCCCCGCATGGCTATGTCCTTCTCTGCGGCTGGTGGTGCTGTGTGCCCCAGGACCTTGGTTCCCAGTGAGGGTCCTGCCACTGTGGTTATAGGAGCATTTGCACATGGATCGGTGAGTAGAGGTCACCAAAGGGCAGGAGCTGAAACCCTCAAAATAATAGGAATATGTATGTGGTTAAAAATTACTGTACTTTCGGCTGTGAAACTGATCTTCATACTTCTGAATGAAAATTTAACTTTTTGAAGTATACTTTACATGTATGTAGCACTGAGCCCATATCAGTATAATAATGCAGAATACACAGATGAGCCAAAATATTATGGCAACCCACATATGAAGCAAATACAGTGGTACCTCGGTTCTCAAACTTAATCCGTTCTGGACTAAAAAGTTCAAGTTCTGATCGAATTTTTCCCATAAGAAATAATGGAATTAATTGGTTCCCGGCCCCCCAAAATTACACCTAAATATGTTTATTTTTTTTCTGTTGGTTTTTAAACACAAAATGAACAGGATAAAACAAGAAGAACATTTTTTCCTTAATGGCTTCCAAAACGATAAAGATCTTATCCCAACATTACCCCTGTCCTGCCCCAATCGTCCGCTACTTCCGTGTGCCATGCCCCCTCGTTAAGCCCGTGTGGAATCCCTGTGTGATCAGCTGTTTCTGGTTGTTGTCATTAGTCCTCTGTATTAAGCCCGTGTTTCAGTTTGTTAGCCCAGTCTGGTCATTGGATGCGTTCGACTTGCTTACGGCGCTGGCTTAAAGCAACACATTCTGATTCTGACGCAATGCATTACGGTTAGATGCATTGCGACCTCTCACCCGGCTGCACAAACTGGAACCGCCTCCGTGAGGACACACCTTTGCCCTTATTGGCTGAAGGGTTTAGTTACACGCATGACGTTTGTATCCCAGGCAGTTCCGATGTGTAATCTGCTATTTCTGCCGAATATCTGGTACAGTAAAGCAGTGAGAACTGGTTTTCAGTTAATTTACCTGGTAAAATAAAGTTTAAATAAAT